GTCTTTATAGTTAAAAGAAGTTTTACCTCAATCAACACATGATATTTCCATGACTTTTCCTTCTATTTTTACTTGTATAGACTCAGTGCTTATATTGTCCCCAAGTATTGATTTACATGCCTATTCATAATTTACATTTCTTTTGTGTATCCTTTATACATTTTAGGATCCGCACTATCTGTCCCTGACTATTCGGGCTGAGATTTTCTTTTATTCCTTCCAGAAAGGACTATGTATAACACCATATCTAGATAGATGCTAAATATATAATTATCTACTGACTGAAATACATTCTTAAACAGAAAGAAGCAGGCCTCTGTGTGAGAAAGAACTCACCCCTCAGGGCTTCCTGACAGGATTGGCTCATTAGAGCTGCTGTTTCAGAGGAGGCAAGCACTGCCCATGGCTGTGACCCTGGAACCTCGTCATTTGGAGTCAGCTCATCCTGCCAGACCCATTTTCTGAACTTCCAGCATGGAGGAGAAACCAGCATGGAAGTGAAAAATGAAAACTCTGAGAGACAGTTCCCAAAAGGCATCCTCTTAAGAGCTGAATGCCCTATTTGGTAAGTTACAGAATCAGGAACAATCAAATATTTCAGCAGTGATGGTGTTGGAGTCCTTTGCAGATATAACGTGGGAGCTCATCTTGCCCACCCACCCCCATCCGAATAAAAGGAGGAACCAATGGAAGTCAAGATAAAGAGACTACTGTTGATTTTCACTTCACATCAAATTCCAAGGGAAAGACCTGGGGAGCCTGGACAGGAGAAAATACAGCCAAACTCAGTTCTAGATTCTGAAGCAAAACCAGACTTTGAGGCTCAGAGAATATTCCCTTTGGCACTACTTTTGTTTTTCTAGTTTCTCCCCAGTTCCTAACTCCTTTACAACCCCAAACTCCTATTTGGAAGTCAGAATTCACAATTCAAAGACAGAAATGGATTCTTCAAGTTCCTTTTGAAACTTCCTCTTTTCTTTCTTCCCTTGAGCCTTTTGAACTTTTCTCTAGTTTATTAGTAGCAAGTGGAATGTTTCCCAAACAAGGAAATATGCAATGAAACCTTGTTATAACATCTTTCCTTTTAATGTTTTTCCACCTAGATCATTCAGTTTGAAAAGTCCCAGCTGAAGGGTTAGAAAGCAACGTTGCTGCCACATCAAATTTTCACACGTGAAATCTTCAGAGATTTCCTATTGAGAGGAAGGATTACAAAGAAAATTTCACCACGTTTGAAGTCGCCCATGTACAGGCAAGAGAGTGGTCCTGAAGGTTTGAGAATCCATGTCGTCTGCAGCTGCCTCCATTCGCCCAATCACCACCGAGTATCTTGGAATGGGAGTGTCATCAGGCACAGGCATCTCTCTCACCAGATGCAGCTATGTGCCAGGAGGGGCCGCTGGCAAGGGGGCTACAGAAATTTGGGAGGAGCCCTGCACCTCGTGACTTCACACCCCATGTTTTTTTAACCTTTTCAGTATTTGGGGATGTACAACATGAATGGGAAGGTGGGTACAGGAAACAGGAAAATGTCAACTGGATTACTTTCTCTGATTTTTATTACAGTTTGACACAAAGACACATTGAGGTTAATCTTCTCAACCTTGATAAGAGATTAGACCAACCGATACTTCTTCTATCCACTAATGAAGGGACTGTTACCTGCCCAGCAGCCCAGAGAGGAGGCTGACTTAACTGGACAGGAATGTCAGCCAGAAGCTCTCTGATGCCTGCATTTGAAAGCAAAAGGCTGCAGCGGTCTGGCTACCAGGAAACCCCAAATTAAGTGAATAGGAAATCTTAGGGAAAGAAATGAAAGTTTTTCTTTGCATTTTAAGATGTCTTCTCTATCTTTTGGAAAATAAAAGTGCTATCGTGAAATAGAATGTACAGAAAAGCGTGTAAAACACACGTACAGCATAACAGATTATAAAGCAAACGTACTCGTAACCACCACCAAGACCAGGAGTCAGAGTACTACCAACATCCTACAACGTCCTCTTCTCCCAAAACCGGAGTCCAACACTGGACCTCTTTTTAAAGTCTGATGCTAACAGCCTCCAAAGCTTCCCAACTTTGACTTTTCTCCTTCCTCTCTGCAGTTCATCTCCTAAAAGAAGTTTGTAAATTAGCTTCCCATAACATCTATGCTCACGGAACCAGTAACCCATTTCATTTTAATAAGACAAGTATTTAAGGGTTTGAAGCAGGATAAATAAAAATAAAAACAACCAAGAAAATGGTTTCTCGTGCACTGAAAATATCAGCATATTCATTTTCAAAATGCTAGGTTACGTGGGACCTTGCTTCCAGCCAGAAAACCATTTCTGCTTTCATAAGGGGCACATGCTGAAACAAGTATATGCAATTTCAGTGAAAACAGCACGAACTATTTCTGTCCAGTAAGGTTTTCCCACCTTCAAAGGCTGTAATATACTAAAACCAAAAAATATAGAGTATGGATGTTTTAAAATTTAGAATCTTAATTAATATTCTGACCTTCACCATTGGATACACAATCTCTTTAGAACTGATGTTTGAGGGCAAATATCATCATAGGGAGAAAAATTCTAGATAGAAAGTGAAGGTAAAAGAAATTTCCAGTTGCTTTGGAGCAAAGTCATTTTATCTTTATATTCACCTCGCTGCCTAAATGATGCCTTATTATTAGAAGCTATTCTATAAATGTTGACTGAAGCCATTGTTACATGAGCAGTTTCAGAAAAAGAAAATAAAATCATGCTTATTAGTTTCGACGTGTTTTTGTGGCTTCTTAATTATATTCAAAATGTGAAGAAAATAAGGCTTAGGATTTCAAAAGAAATTATTATGCACAATATAGGGGACTCAGGAATACAAGGAAGCTTGTTAGGAAAACACATTTGTTTCTAGTCTTCTTTTTCACTTCTATTTCCTCCAGGATGTGTGGAACGCAGTTTGAAGGCAAGATTCAGAAAGAGTTACAAGATAGGAGAAAAACTCTTTCAGAGAAAAGCAAAAATCAAAAAGAAAGGAAGGAAAAAAAAAAAAAGCAGAGGCTATCTCTTTGTTCCTGTTCCTTTCCCATGTAGGCGGATCAAGGGCAAACAGAAGGCTTCTTCAGAGCCTGACTTCTTGCATAGCACCACCTAGTGGCCCAGGCTGAGAAATTGTTTTTATGTTGCCAACAGTTGAAAAATTGGAAATTCCAAAGTTGTGAACAGATTTGACAAATCATTACTTATATTTATGAGAGTGTAAATGCCAACTGACAAGTCATTTAGATAAATTTCATTTCAAAGAGCACAAAGTAGGGGTCTTAATGACGCCTGTATCTTTGCCCCTGCACGTAAGTTGCCTGATAAGACCTAAGTGTCTGGTGAGGAAGCCCCAGCCCAGCTCACATCTGGTCACTCTGAAACTGATATTTATAATTCTAGCAAAAACAACACAACTATTCCTGTCCAGTAAAATTTTCCCACCTTCAAAGGCTGTAATACATTAAAACCAAAAAATAAATGATATAGATGTTTTAAAATTTAGCAGCTTGATTAATATTCTGACCTTCAACGTAGGATGAACAATCTCTTTAGAAACAATTTTTTTTTAATTTTTTTTCAACGTTTTTATTTATTTTTGGGACAGAGAGAGACAGAGCATGAACGGGGGAGGGGCAGAGAGAGAGGGAGACACAGAATCGGAAACAGGCTCCAGGTTCTGAGCCATCAGCCCAGAGCCTCACGCGGGGCTCAAACTCACAGACCGCGAGATCGTGACCTGGCTGAAGTCGGACGCTTAACTGACTGCGCCACCTAGGCGCCCCTAGAAACAATTTTTGAGGGTAGATATCTTCGTAAGGAGATAATGAGTAAAATCCCAGCTCTGCCCAAGGGAGGTCTGGAAAGAAAGCTGGAGGGCAGTCTCCTCATGGGCATCCTACTATCTTTGTTTAAAGGAGCATGTTTGAAGAAAGTTAAGAACTGGTTTCAACTTTCTTTCCAAGTTAAGATGAAGCAAAGGTTGTAGACTGTAGCTTTTTTCTTAGCCAAGCTTTTCATTCCTCTGCATGTTGCTAAAAGTCAGACCTGGCAGCCACTCTCTTTAAGCAGACGATGGCCCCAAACTACACACGGGCACCAATGATTTCAAGAGGGGAGAGGGAAGAAAGAAAAAGAAATTATGAACAGTGACAAAGAGGTCTTTCCTCCTTTCATAAAAGCATAATGCAGCTGTTTCCAGACATACCTTCAGAAACATAATGCCCTTGAGAGGAAAGCTTTGAGAAGACCTGGTCTGCTGCTCAGCCAAAGGCAGCAGATCCCAGGTAAATCAAAGGAACTTGACCCAAATGGAACCTATTTGGCAAAATAGCAATGACAGGGAAGTTCTGTTCTTCAGCCCTAGTTTCCTGCCTCCTGTCCTAAGAACTGACTGCACAACTAAACAGAAGCCATTAAGCAGAAGCTGACTCTAAGTGGGCAAAGGCCGGCACGTAGGCCAGTGACGGACCTATTCTAAATTGATTAAGAGAGTGGGGTTATTGACTGGGTGGTGAATTGGACCAGGTGACCTCTGAGGACCCCATGACTGAATAACCTTAGGATTCACCACATTCCCTCCACTTAGGTTCATACATGAACAGAAATAATCTTCCCAATAACTCTAGGTAAACTGAGACCACCCTGGAGTGCTTAGCACGAATTAGTGATTCCATATGGCTTTATAAATGAAGAAGGAAAGGTGGCAGGCAGAGAAATGAGGAGTCTAAGAGTTAATGTTATAAAAGGCGTGTGTGTGTCTGTATGTATGCCCAGTATATATACACTGATGCTGTGCAATTAACTTGAAAAAGAAACAATCACTTTCCTTTTCATGAATTTGGTTGAATAGACCTTTACCCCTGCTTAAAGTTCAAAGTGGTAGTAGTGGAGCCCTGGCAGTATTTGGACACTTGTTAACAAGAAAACTCCAGTAGTGCTTATAGAAGCATCAGGCTCAGGGAGGTCAGGGGCTCCAGGTACCTGTTTTGGTCAAAGGAATTGAGAAGAGCTGCTGAAGAAGCTTGTTTTCTGACGTTCTCAGGACTACAACCACATCAGCAGGTAGTGTATCTCTGTTTTTCTCAAGAACCCCAGAAGCATCATATAATACCTGCAATGTAAATAGCAAATAGCAAACTAGCCGATATCATCCATTGCTAGCAACACTGGTAAGTTGTCTGAGGTCAGTCATTAATCGACCAATGTACAGAATTTGTCTTGACACAGTTGTGCTTTTAAATCCAGTCCACAAGATAAGGAGGAAAAAAATGTAATTTCTGACACACCAATTTATCTTAACTTCTTGTCCAGGTGCTCTTTGAAAAAAAGAGTCACATCACATCGGAATAATAATGAAAATACATTGGGTACTATATCTTTGGTCACTATATGTAAAGCATCCATCCTATGAGGTAAACACTATTATTATCCCCATTTTACTGGTGGGTGAACAGAGTCCTAGAGAGAAAACAAATAATATGCACATTTCACAAGTGACAGGCAAGCTTCCAAACCCAGACACTTTGGGCTCCGAGCCCATACCCACCGTACCGTTGTTGCTTCCCAAGGTACTCACGGCATGTGATCGCTCAGGGATGCTGAGCCATTTTTGGTTCTCAGAACAGGAGGGATCCAGGTCAGAGAAATTTTAAGAACACTCCAAAGAAATAAGCATTGAGTGACAAATGAATTCAGAAAAGAACAGGAGTCCAGAAAGAAAAAGATCCTTCCTATCCATCTCCCCCCGCCTTTCTCATCTTTCTTAAAATCAAGAAAGGAGAAGAGGGAGAAAGGGAAGATGGGTGAATAGGAAATAAGTATAAAAGGACATGGAAACAGAGTGGAGGTGTAAGGAAGAGGATAGGAAAGGAGGAAGCAGGCTAGATAAGGGCATCTCAGACATCAAGGACATCAATATATGGGCAGACATCAGTGCTAAGGTGAGTGAACGATCTAAGGGTAAAAACTGGGTTGCAATTTCTAACAAATATCCAAAATAGATACTATGCACTATGTGAAGAGAAAAACAATCCTCTCTACTTACATTAGAATTGCCTTTCAACCAACATCCAGTCAGGCATACTTAATTTCAATACTATGATATGAATATGAAAAATGATTTCAGGGTGCCTGGGTGGTTCAGTCAGTTGAGCATCTGACCCTTGATTTCAGCATGGGTCATGATCCCAGGGTCATAGGATTGAACCCTGCACTGGGCCCATACTGAGCATAAACCTGCTTAAAATTCTCTCTCTCTCTCTCTCTCTCTCTCTCTCTGCCCCTCTCCCCAACGCGTGCTCTAAAATAAAAAATAAACAAATAAATAATTTTTTTTAAAAAGTAAAAATAATTTCAATAAATCTTACATCAACAAAATAATCCAAAATGCCTTTTTTTGAACTCCTACCCATTTTTTTTGGACCCAGGGCCTCAGCAGACCCCCCCAATTAGCCCTAATTCCAATGGCTCCTTTGAGAGTAACTCAAGCAATGAGTTGTTGGCTGCAGAACTAGAGAGTTTCCTGAATTAGTCACTACTCTACTTCAGGAACTTGAAATGAGACTGAGGCATAAGTTACGAAAGGTGGAAATTTCTGTTAATGATATAAAAGCTTAATATCTGGATGATGAAGTGAATTTTTTTCCCTTTTTATCTAGACATTTTTGGTTCCCTAAAGACACATAGAGTTAAACTGCTAAAAAATGAGCCCCACTGTGATATGAACCCTCCACTGCTACCTACACATTTCCAAATGACTTTAATGTGCACATTCACTGCTCAACACTGGGAAAGCTATACTATGTTCTCTCTCTGGAGAGCTGTCACTTCTGGGCCAAACCTCAGGTGAGAGGCAGATGGCAGCTCTATAGTCACCCCAGCGAGAAACTGCTTCTTTACCAGGGGCGACTTTCTGTGAACAGCACACTGAGAAAGTTTGGGAATTATGATTAGGTGTTCAAGAGGAATTAAAAGGAGAAAAGAAACCCGCAAATAATTTTGTGAGCAGCACAGACAGGGTAATATGGACACTGACCCCTGTCAAATTCAGGTTTAATGACACACACTTGCCTCACCTTTCCGGCATAGTGCAGGATGCCAAAGCACAGCTCCACTCCTTTGGGCCTCCAGAAGTATTTGCATCGCAGATTATCTTCAAATTTATCTGTGTGGATTTTCATGTTTAAAAGTTACAATGAGAATTGTTGGCTCCTTCAAACAAAAGGTCACTCCTTGAGCCAGGAGTGACCCCAAATAAGGGATTTCAGAGCAGTCTGATAGTGTCGTTGTATGTACAACAGTAGAGAAAAATGCCCTGTTGAAATGGGCTTACCATCAAGTCTTCGTTTAGTTGTTTTGTATTTGTCTTTAGCATCAGGCCTAACATCTTGTTTTGTTCTAAGAACTCCTAGCATGGACACTGATGACACCAGAACTCTGACCAATTAGCTTTAGAACCATAAAGATATCCCACAGAAGAAGGCAAACAACCCTTGTTTAAACTTATCATGGCAACTTGTGATGATTTCACAGGTAAAAGGAAACCACCGAAGGTGACAATGTCAACTCCTGAAGAGAATCTCTCCCACCAATCAATTTCCTATCTGGGGAAAAGACTTGAAGCTTTCTGTTCCTCCCTCAATAAACAATGTTTGCTACTGTTGTAACTGAGAGCCTACTCTGTGTGAGGATCTGTGCTAAGTACTAAATGGATACAAAGATTGGGGATTTGTTGCCCTAAATATCTCACAATCTAAGCGAGGGAAGGGATCATGTACAACACTGAAGACTGGAGAAGCAGATGGACAAAGGGAACGGGGATAGAATACAAAGGGCCTTTAATCCTAGGATGAGGTGTCTTACTGGCAGGCCGTAGACAATAGTAAACTAATGAAAAGGTGGCTTTAGAAAGACTAAATTAGCTGGGATGTCCAGGGTAGATAGGGTAAGTATGAGTCTAGAAGCCATGAGACCAGAAGGGTCTTCTATACAAACTTGGACTAGAGGTGGATGGGATCCAGGCAAAGATATGAGAGAAGGGTATGAAAAGGAGGAGAAGCAATTATTGGTTATAGGAAATAAGGGGCAGGAAGGTATAAAAAATGATATTGACAAAGGATAAAGGTATTTACGTTGGCAGCAATAGGAGTGTGAGGAGGGCTTGGTGATGGGTTTGCTTTAAGACACAATCTATCAGGACATTTGCTGAATATTTCAATGCATTAAAAATAGAGCCTATACTTGCATAGCCTACCAGGTGGCCAAAATGCTCAGCCACGCTCATTTGATCACATGAACCAAGTTCTCTTCTGAGTGCATTATGCCTTTTACAAAAGATACCTACCAACCAGGGTCTGATCATTTGCTTGGGGAAATCGACTTTCCTCATCCAAAAGTGCAAGCAGTCCCAGGGGCTTCTGGAGGAACATGTCCAAGAGTGGGCGGTTGTCCTCATACATCACAGGTGTAGCATCAATGCCTTCATTCTGATATTCCACCTGGAGGGAAATGGATTGTGAATGTCTCCAGCCCAAAACTGGCCTAGGTGGCACCAGGCTGCTTTGGCATGCACGTTCTGTGTCTGGAAACACTGACTGTATGTGGAAAACAGGCTGTGTTTTATGGGTGTAGCAAAGGAGTCTTCTGCATATAGCACTGTTGAAGCTTTGGGTTTAAGTCTGACCTACAGGCACAGCCTGTGGCAGGCAGCTGAAGTCAGCAAAAGAAGGGACAGTGCTGTCTCCCAAATACCAACTTGGTAACTTGTAATTTAGAAACTGACATGGAATGGAAGAGAAGCTGAAAAAAAAACTATTTTGGTGATAAATATGGTTTAAACCAGGAAGAAAACAGACATCTATCTTCTACAAAGCATTCTTCAAGGGAATCATCTCCGGCTGGAAAACAAAGAAAATTCCAGATTTCCCAGGGAAAATAAATGCAGGGAGCCTTGACTGAAAAGGAGGTGGAATTTCACACAGAGTGGGAGGGGAGGGGAGGGGTGGGTGATCCAGATTTATCCAGGTCCACTGGTAAAACCAATACTTCGTGTTTATCTAATCACAGCACAGTGTGTGTATGCCTTCACTTCTACATTAAAACAAAGGGCTTAGTATGTTTCGTTGTTGAACAACTTCATACAAGATAGAATCTTGGGGTTAGGGTAGAAATTAGGGTGGAGGGGAAGGTCCCCTAGCTTTTGGGCACATGAGCTTCACACTCAATTTGATTTACCATTAAACTCATAGTGAAAAGACTTCCATTTGGAGAAAACCAAGAACATATCTTACTCCTCCCTGGAGACATTCCACCCCCACCCCAGCAGTTACTGTGGGACCTGGTGTGCAGGAGATAGGGGATGGGGATGGCCCATCTGGGAGTTAAGAACAGTAAGAACCTGTGCCCTGAATTCAACATCATCCTGTGTCATTTTGGACACTTATTTTACTTACATAAGGTAGGAAGAGAATGTAGCATTTTGGACAAGGTGCATGAAACAGTTTAGAAGCAACAATTAAATAACTGGCTTGTCACCAGCTCCACTCAAGTGAGGAAATGTAACTTTCCACAGAAATCAAGACTTTTTTTTTCAGGCTAAATTTAGACTATTTATTTTGACAGGACAGGCAGGACTGCCTCACCAGTGGTTTTTTCCTTAGAATCTTTTACCTGTTAGCCTAACAGGGTTTCCCCTTCTAATTGTGGGCAGCTTGGAGGCACCTTCCCCACCAGGTTTAGTTACTTCAGAGTTCACTATTACCTGCTCAAGAGCAAAAACGTGCTGGTTGAAATAGTACTGGATTTGCTCATTGGCAATGTTTATGCAGAGCTGCTCAAATGAATTTCTCCCAAAGTTCTCGAATCCAAAAATATCCAAGATCCCCACATTCATACCATCATCTGCACTACTGCATTGAAGAGAAGAAAAAAAAATTGTTAGGGGAAGAAACATTCATCTCAGGATGATGTTAAATACATATGCCCGTGTGTTTACCAACATATATACCCACTCATGGAAAGCAGCATTCAGCCACCTCTGAAGGAAGAAACAGTTTGTGTTTTAAAGTATTCATTCCTTCAGTTTTTCAACAGTCTTTCCAACTTTTTTTAAGCAGTAGGATCCTTTAAAATCTTACTCAGAAGCTCCATAAAGAGAAAGATTAACGAGGAACCACTCTATTGGAAGGGGCTAGAACTGCTGCCCATTCACTATTTCACCTTCCCACCCATAAGGCTTAATCGGAAGAACACTCTTTAGAACTTGATGTTGTCAATTCTTCCACAATATAGAAACCATCAATGCTTAGAAAGAAATAGTAGTAACAGCAGCAGCAGTAGTAATGTAATGATATAATGTAAATAATGTAATATATGGTGCTTTAAAACTTTACATGAAACTACATCTCATTCTGAAAACAACACTATGAGGAGGATATCATTACCCTCATGTTACAGATGAGAAAACTGTGACTTAGAATATGGGATTGATCCAGCTCTAGAGCTTAGATGCAGACCCAGTTTGCCCAGCTCCCAGACAAAGCTGTTCTCTTAAACACTACACTGTAACAGCTCTGTCAGTCATGTGCCTCTTCCATTGTCGTGGATACCATTCTCCTTTTAAAGGTGAAGACTTGAGAGCTTCACTAAAGAAAACTCATGAGTGGACCAAACACTTTCTCTTGCAAATCTAGGAGACATTGGGGTCAATGACAGCTCTCCCAGGGCCTCTGCTTCCCGAGGGAACTTGCCATATGCTTTTGTCTGGCTGCAGGAGTGTATTGATGCGATTTACAATCCAACTGAAGAGCCTCGCATACAAGGCTTTGGACATGGCATCTCGGACATCCGCGGCTCTGTCGACAGTGTTGGCACGGATGATGGTCTCACCCCGGGTGACCACACAGTGTGAGATAAGGGCCTCTTGGAGTTCTTCGGGGCTGATGCAGAGAAGGGAGGCAGCTGGAATACAGGGTAAGGATGACACCAGAGAATGTAGTCATCCATCCATCCATTCATTCATTCAGCCAGCATTTATTCAACATCCACTATGTGTCAGGCTCTCCCTAGGCACTTCAGATGCAAAGGTAAACAAGCCAGGTCCCTAACACCAAGAAGCATCCAGATGGACACAGTAACAGAACATCCACACTGTTCTGAAAGCTCTTCCCAGGTATTTGATGAAAAAAAGTGAGAGGAGATGGTCTTTGGTCAAATAGCCGGGGACTATACTCTTCTCAAGAGTCAAAAAGCACATTACTTTATTAAAGGCAGTAAAAGATACTGTTTAACACAAATGGTGTTTATTTAAATCAGTTTTTTTTTTCCCTAACTCAGGATTTGGTTTCCTTGTGCCATCATCTCCTATAGAACTTCAAAAAAAAAAAAAATAGTGCCTGACTTCTCCCCTGGAGATGCTGATTCAGTGGATTCAGAGAGAGATCCACCTCTTGTATTTTTTCAAAAACTTATAGCTGGTTTTCAAAAGTAGCCAGTGTTGACACCACTGCCCAAAGTGACCTGCCACAAAATTCTTTTCTGCAGAGCATTTATTTGCAGCTTATAAAAAGAATTGTGATGGTCTACAAGACATCCTTTGGGAAATCCCAGTTGGTGAAAATACCCAAAGTCAGTACAGAGACCAGCAACAGCTACTCTATATTTTACAGCATCTTGAGAAAGTATCAAAGTGAAAGAAACATGTATTTTGGCTACACAGTGCACAGACATCAAACAATTACCATTTTCCAAAGCTTCAGCATTGGGCACCTCACTTTTATCAGTTTGATGTTGAGAGGAAATAGCTGCAAACTCAATGTTTCCAATATTCAAAATCCCAGCCAAAATTCTGTACACTGAGTGCACCTCCTGAAAAGGACAGCAAGAGCCATGTTTGGTCACTGCCAATCAAACTAACAAACCACCAGCACTGCTAGTTGTCCACTGAAGTCCAACACACACACACCCTTTTCCTGGGCACACAAATAATTTCCAAACCTCCCTTGAAGTTAGACAGTAGAACTAAACTCTTAACAAAGGAGCAAGAGGAATGACGTGGGCAATTCTGAGCCCAGTCTTACAGAAACAAGCATGCCTCCTCCATGCTTTCTTTCCCATTATTGCTGGCTGGAACGCCCAAAAACCCAGCCTCAACTATGCAGCTGATTAGGATTCCTGAGACAAATGACTGCATGGAACAAAGTTGTTCTGCAGCGTGAACCTCTCACCATGAAATGCTTCCGTCAGGGAGAACTGATCTTCTTTGTTCTTTATGCCACTTTGAGCCACTTCCCTAACTAATACCAACTCCCAAATTCAGGTATGTTCTTTCTTCAACACAAGAGAGGAGATGTTTCCTTAACCTCTTTTGAATAGCTTTTATGAAATAGTTATCAGGGCATTTATTAATGGCTCATTGAACATTCTGAAGTTAAATAATAGAGTATATCATTATGAATGAGGTCAGGAAATATTCTGACTCACTAGAAATTATTTGTGATATTGTGATATAATAAAAACATAGATTTGGTCTTCACTCCAATCTCTGGCACAAGAGTTTATGCAACCCTTGGGATTATGAGTGGTAGGTGTTAAAGGAATATCCTCTGTCATTCAGAGTAAGCCCCTCAGCCGTAACTGAGTTCATGCCAATGAGGTGACTCTTAGGGAATGGGGGCTAGTTGCTAGAGAGACCACAGATTAAAGGGTAAGAATTTTTAGCTGAATCCTGTACTTCCAAGGAGGGGAGAATCCTGGAGATTGAGTTAATCACCAATTGGCAATAATTTAATCATTCATGCCTATGTAATGGAGCCTCCATTTAAACCCATAACTGACGAGGCTCAGAACACTTCCAGGTTGTTGAACACATGGAAGGTGGTGAGAGGAGGGGTACCCCTTTTCCAAAACCTTTCCCTATGTATCTCCTCTTTCACTTGGCTTCTCCTGAGTTTTATCCTTTATAATAAAGTAAACTGTTTTCCCAAGTTTTTTGAGTCCTTCTATCCAATTAATAAACTCAAGTTTGGGATCTTGGGACCCTAAACCTCCCATTTCATAGCCATTTGGTCATTAGGAGAACCCTACTGAACAAGCAGGACTTGCCATTAGTGTCTGAAGTGGGAGCAGTCTTAGGGAACTGAACCCCTCACTTGTGTGATCAGATATTAACTCCAGGTAGACAGTATCAGAAGCGAATTGAATTATAGGAGAATTGGTTGGTATGGGGGGAAAAAACTCCACACATTTGATGTCAGAGTGTTGTGAGTGAAGATAGTTTAGATTATCTAAGCCCTATTTTTATATTGAAAGTTAAATATATAAGTAGCATTAGTGGTAAAATATAAAGTATGTATATTTATTTATTTAAACATATGCATTTCCTGTAGGTGAGATAAATGGGTAGCCAGTAAATTTCTGCATCTTATGCTTATAGAGAAAAGTACTTCCACAAAAACACTCAGGTGAGGAACTTGATTTAGTACTATACACAGCAGCAAACTAATAGGAACCGTCATTAGATCATTGATAAAGCATTGTTCCCAAATTGAGCCTTCCTGTGAACATTCCTCAGTAAAGCCAAAAACTGAACATAGACTGTAATAGTGACATCTGCTGGATACCTGATAATGCTACAAAGACAAACGAGGATTTTAAACCAGGCTTCTGCTATAGATAAATACTGTTCTTCAAACTTCTAAATCAAAGGCAAATTGTCCTGTTTCTGCGGTCAAGAATCACTGTTTTAATCACACAACTTAAGACTGGCTAAGGAGAACACCTACCAAATGGGTTTTCTGGGACTAGTGTGGATTTAACATGACAGCACCTCATTACCTCGATCAATACAATATGAAGCTCATGGAATGCAACAAGCAAGCAACTTCCCAGAGGGTAAACAGAGACTCTAAGGCAATGAGTTTGATATATCTATTATTTCTGTATCCAGTTATCTCAAAAAGTTATCTAAACTCTCACTACTCTGAGGAAAAAAATGTACTTCCTCTAATTAACACACACACATGCAACATATATGACCATACAAGGCATGAAACCTCCCAAAATAGGGCTTCCAGGCATTTCACCACTGGGGTGATTATCCCCAAAGGAAATGGTAGTTCTCACCTAGTTGTTTCTCTGGCAATAATCTCTTCGGCACAATACTCAGACATTTGCTCTTTTAAAAAACAAAACTACCCATGTGACCTTCAGTGAAAATTTTGGGGTTCAAACACTGTGAATGACTGAACCTAATGGTAGGTTGGGTCTTCTTCCTTGGTTGAGACAGGGGAACTTAAGAAGGGTATCCAATGTTGACCTCACTATGGAGGAATTAGCCTTAGAGTGCTCTTTATGCTACAATTCCAAGCTATTCCACTTGACTCCTTCAGTCTCCCCCTTAGATTAATTAGTTCTGCCTTTCTGGCCTAGGAACCTATATCCACCCTTATGGTCAAGTCAAAACATCACCCATGTACTGTCATGTTAGAGGACAATCAGTAGCAAGTTCATCTGTGGGATTACATCTCCCTCCCCAGTACTTTTTTTTTTTTTTTTTTTTTTTAATGCTTATTTGAGAGACAGCATGAGCAGGCATGCAAGCAAGGGAGGGGCAGAGAGGGAGGGTGGGAGGGAGAGAGGGAGAGAGGGAGGGAGGGAGGGAGGGAGAGAGAGAGAGAGAATGAATCCCAAGCAGGCTCCACGTTGTCAGCGCAGAGCCTGATGTGGGGCTCAATCTCATGAACTGTGAGATCATGACCTAAGCAGAAATCAAGAGTCAGATGCTCAACTGACTGAGCCACATAGGCGTGCCCCACCCCCAGTACTTCTTCATCAAGTCTCTTCTTTTCTCCCCACAGCTATCCTGAGAAAGATTTTCACCTTCCTCACTTTGCTTATTTCCTCTTGTCTGATCTCCAGCTCTATGCACCCTTTCCTGGCAGATTCCTTTGCTACAGAATCTTGTTATGATGCTCTATTTTTTATTTCTTATGTTTTCAACTTTCTACGTGATAACACAAAATAACCTCACTCAGGACAGGAATACTATCAAGAAGACTAACAACTCCTCCAGCTGGTTTCCCAATTCACTGTCGATGAGTATGAATTCATTTTTATCATCAATCAGCAGAAGTGGGGAAGAAAGAGCCTTTCTCCATCAACATCTCATGCAGGATGTCTTTGCTGCTTCTTTCCTTTTCTCAGAAGATACTCCTTTCACTGATGTAGGTATTCTCTCAATAAAGTTAAAGCTAAGCAGAAAATTGAGAAGGATCTTAGTTTTCCATTAGCCTGGAGCTGATTTCCATTTAGCCTGGAGTTGCTCCCAGCCTGGCTCACAGGCATCTCATGGTAGTTGTTTCTCTGTTCCTCTCCTAGGCATTTACTTGTCCTCTCAGTATCTCTTTACCTTGTTTCCTTTTTACAAGTCTCTAGTTTTTTACCAGCTGCTCTAAGTACCACATTAGGCCTAATTAAAGGGCTTTCTCCCTGGGGCGCCTGGGTGGCGCAGTCGGTTAAGCGTCCGACTTCAGCCAGGTCACGATCTCGCGGTCCGTGAGTTCAAGCCCCGCGTCCGTGAGTTCAAGCCCCACGTCGGGCTCTGGGCTGATGGCTCGGAGCCTGGAGCCTGTTTCCGATTCTGTGTCTCCCTCTCTCTCTGCTCCTCCCCCGTTCATGCTCTGTCTCTCTCTGTCCCAAAAATAAATAAAAACGTGGAAAAAAATATTTAAAGGGCTTTCTCCCTTACGGGCTCTATCCCAACACCTTTCTTCAGTTTCCTTTTCAGAGGATGTTTCACCTCTGAAAAGAAAAATGTTTTCACAACATTTGTATCTTGAAAGCCAGTGATGGGTTTAAAAACATTTGAGGGTAGGGGGTGTATATCAATCATACATCAATAAAGTTTTAAAACCGTGGTAAGTCCTATTGTCTATCATTTGAACACTGAAAATCATCAAGATCTCCCATTTACATTTTAACACATAAACCCTTCGGTTTCTCTTCAGCAATACTCTCCCAAATACATAATCTGTCTTGAAGAAAGGGAAAAAATTTTGCCCTAATCTCAAAGCCTTCTCCCTAACCTCTTCATCAAGGGATCTGCAGTAAAATATCCAATCTTGACCCTCACACAGATAATCTGCCTAAAATCTTTTCATGTAGTATTAAATATAAACATACCTAAAACTCAATTTAATACATTATGATTATTCATATACCAGCAAGACAAGCATTAATATTAAACAAAAATAATAATGTTTGATTCCAAAAAGGCATGGATCTTCATAATAGGGTGTTAGGTATAATCCCACCCACCCAACCCCCAACCCCTGCCCAATCCCCTGCAAGGAACCATCATTGTTAGTCAAAGACTCCTTCTACCAGAGGTTTCTTTACAATAAACTCAGGGTCAAGTGTTCTTTCTGATACTTTTGGCTGATGTCCCAGAATTAAAATTCATGTTCTTGAGTCTGCACTAAGGTTTGCTACTTATAATTTTGCTATGGGAGTTTGGAGGAATCTGAAGAATACTATGAGGATTCCTGCAGGGTACTTAGTGACATTATAAGAAAAGAGGGTGACCATCATTTTGATTAAATTGACCAGTTTATTTAAGCTATGTCTAGAAAATGTCCCTCTGTCTAGAAATAAACTTAAGAAAAAGTTCTGATACATCAGCTATTTGGCATCTGATCCCTGACTACATTCACCTGAATCTTTCTGAATTTAGTCAAACTACTTTGAGTTTATAAAGTAAACTGAGTGAATTCAGCAAAAACAGGTTGTCTATAGAGATATAGACAAAGATATAACCAAAGAATTTAAGATCAGAGAGATCAGAGCCAGCCTCTTCCTTCCATTTCCAAGGTTGCTGACATAAGTTGGTTTATTTCCAGTATCAATTGATATGGGACACGGTGAAACTATAAACATATCATTACATTCTCGTTATTCATTTTATAGTCCAGATCAGGCAGAAATTATGTCTACCACTTTTTACACTTGTTTCTTTTCACATTTATTCATTCATTCATTCCATTCAATTCTACTATACTTTTTTTTCATCAAGGGTTAGGGATGGCTTACCTCAAAGACACATACTTTTAGCATATTTAGTTTGTTTTGTTTTTTGTTATCTTAAAACAGCTTGATTTATTATTATTTGCAATACATTTCTATTATTAGAACAAAGCCATTATATACGTTCTTTTAGAGCTAGGACTAATCTCTTCACAGTATTCTACACCCATCTTTATAGTCATTGAAAGCAAAATATTATTAACCTTATGACTAACTTCTCTATTGTTCCTGTACCCTTTTCAGGTAGTATGCCCCTGAACACTTTGGCATGACCGAGGTGACTTGAAATCGTTCTACTGCCATCTCCACCACGCTTGGACTCTTCTGGTGATGCATCTTGATAACAATCAGCTCTACAAATTAATAACCATAAAGGTCCTTTAATAAGGCTGGAACCTGTTTAACTGCTCTCCTCTAAGAAGCCAAGGGAAATACAGTTCTGTTTTTATCTGACCTTTGGGATTTTCCACTGTCTGTCAGTCTAAAGTCAGTGGGAGGCAGACAGAGAAAATTAACAGCTGGCTAGAAGAAAAGAAAGGTATTATTATGACTAAAATCAGCCATGCTGGGAAGGAAAGGGCTGGCCAAACTCATTAGATTACAGAAGCAATACTTTACCCAGAGTGGCTGTCCCAGGGTAACTGGAGTGTCTTGTAATCTAATCCCTTAAGATTTAACACTCTCACCTACCTCCTAATCATTCACCTCCTTTCTTGGAAAAGCAAAAGAATCTGTGTATTTTGCCAAATTGATGGCATGAAGCCCAGAAACTATGACATAAATGTATCACAGAATAATATTTGAACCTAGGGTTATAAATATCTTCTGTCACCCCTGGCATATATTTAATAGAGACAGCCTGTATCTCGTAAGATAAGAGGAGTCGAGTACTTAGAGCTAGAGGTAATAATGTGCAACTGTGTACCATGGAGAAGGAAGTGACTGTAAGAAAGTTGAAAAGGTTTAAATTAATTTGTTTTGGTGCACAAGGAGCTACTTGCATAAATATATTTCTGAGCCTTGGTGTAACCTACATATTCCTATACTCATATTACACAACACACTTTAATGGCTGGAACAACCCCAACTCAGAAAAGGGCAGTATTGTTTTGGTGTTTGTTATCACAGCTGTAGTGAACTGATGACAACGGTAACAATTTGCAGGCATGTGGCACTTACAACAGTACTTCTAATTTAATATTCGGTTGTGCTTCTTGTTAAAATGCAGATTCTGGTTCACCTGTTCATAGATGGACCTGAGAGTCCGCATTTCTAACAAGCTCTCACATGATGACAATATTTCTGGTCTGATCAGACCATACGTTGAGGAGCAAGACCTTATACATGACCAGATGGGATCTGAAAAGAAAGTATCCTGCCCCAGCTTAGAACGTTCACATCTACAAGATACAAGAATATTAACACCTGAGTTTCTTTTTCTTTTGGGAATCACCTACCTTGTCAGTGAACCCTATAATCCTGAAGCAATGCTGAATTGCTTCAAATTGTCTTCTGTAAGATTCCTTGGAAGTGATGTCGTGTATCACCCTTCCAGTTTCATCAGCTATGTACCTAAATGGAGTATGACCAAATACAATGAGCATTGACGTGGCAAATGGCACCCCAAATACCAGGGCATCACTGGGCTCCTTCTTCACAAGGGCATTTCCCTTTCAGTCCAATTGCAGTGGAATAATGGTGCATGTGGCTGAGTAAAATGGCCTCAGTTAAGTTTTTAAACGTTCCAGAAAATGCAAAAGGTGAATGGCTGCAGTTAAGCTTTTGAGTTTCTGGAAAATGAAAATGGTGCCATTCACCTTGGGTATTTCAACTTAAGACATTATCAGTGTCCAGTTAGGAAAAACAGCTCCATTTATTTCCAAGTTTTCTCAATTGCTAGTTACACATTCATTAAAAATCAACAACTAAAACCCCTGATACTTACCTAGGAGGCTTTTCCTCAGGAAGTCTGAACTCAGAAAGTTTCTTCTGGTGATAAAGACCAGCATAAATATAGTAAAATATGTGAAAATTTTTCTCTCCCCTGGAAGAAAAGAGGGGAGAGGATATTATTAATGACATATTCTGGGGCCTCCCCACTTTAAGTAATCTATACCATCTTTCTGTGAAAAATATTATCCTGTAGCAAATTTGCATTTTCAGGCAATTAAATTTGCCAAATCCCAATTACAGAATAGTAATAGTGATAGGATTAGTATAGTAATTGTCACAGTGTCACATTATTAAACACACTTATCTTTACGCAGAAGGAGGTTTTAGAGAATGGAACATTCATACGTCACAGTCAGGTTATACACGTTTAGAGATATTTCTAGTACAGCCCAAAGGACGAGGCATCTGTGTCACATGCCTTCTGTTAGTAACCCGTGTTGCTTCAGAAACAGTGATAACAGCTTAGAGACGTCAGTCAATCTCCCCATTTTATTGGAGCCCCAGACAGTGGCTCTCCAGTCCTACGGCAAGGTAGGGAGCAAAACTGGGTCCCGGACTGAGGTCTCCACTCTTTCAAACCTGTGTTCTTTCAAATGCAATTCAAAGCAGTATGCACCAGTTCTCCTGCCAGTGCAGAGCCCGAAGTGGGGCTCAAACCCACCAACCACGAGATCGTGACCTGAGCCGAAATCAAGAGTCAGATGCTTAATCAACTGAGCCACCCAGGCACCCCAAGAATTTTTTTTAACTGGTCCTTCAGCATAGACAGTTTGAAAAGCCCTGCTCTGGGTCCCTTTCCGTCCTCTGGAGGAGGGCAGTCTCTTCTGTTGATATCCCAGGATTTGACAAATCCTCATTTTGGCCAATTTAGCTCTGTGAAAAGAAATCGTTCTACTCCTTGTTCCCATCTGTGACACGGGCCCCACTCTTTTCTTCAGCTTCTTCTAGGTATCCTGGTCTTCCTTTGTCATTTATCCTGCCAAAGCTCTTCTAGGATATTCTTATTCCTCTCTTGTATTCCAGATGCCTCTGCTCACCATTTCTCACTCATCTGTTCCCTCAACTAATAAATTTACCTAGTGTCAGTCAGAGCAAGCACTGTACCAGGTGCCAGGGATATAGGACTAAGAGGATTCCTGCCTTCTGGAGCCTCCCTTCTAGTGACAGAGTTAGATAAAACAAGGAAACTTGTGATGAGGGCTTTGAAACTTGTGATGAGGGCTTTGAAGAATAAGGTTGGGGGATAAGGGCTGCTTGTGTTAAGTCAAGGGAAGGACTCTCTAAGGAAATAACACTTAGGCCAAACACTGAAACATGAGAAGGGACTGGAAGGAGCTACAGAAAGAAGGGGGAAGAGCATTCCAAAGACAGGGAGCAACATATACACAAGGGCTCTGAGCCTGACACCCACATAGAACCAAAAAGATGCTAGGGAGAAGGGGGTGGGCAGGTAGGCAGGGCCAGCCCATATCAGGCCTTGTTAGGCCATAACGAGGACTTTGTTGATTAAGCAATTAGAATTCTTTGAAGTGTATTAAACTGGAGCCAAGAAGCACTTTAAGTATATAACATGAGTAGATCTGTGTTGAAAAAGTACATTCTAGCTGCAGGATGAAGACTAGACTGTAAGAAGCCAAGATGGATGCAGGGAGACCAATTAGGAGGTCGTGGTGAGAGAGCAAGCAACTTGGATAGGTATCAATTATAGTGCTGATGGAGAACAAGAGTAAGCTTACAGATATATTTGGAGGAACAACTAAAAGAACATCCTGAGAGAATGAATGAGGGTGGTGTGAGAAAAGGACCTGGAGTCTGCCTCCCAGGTACCTAACTTGAGCATCTAGCGATGATGGCACCATTCATGGAGATGCTAAAGCCCTTTTAGGGCTTTATGAATCAGTATGCCTGGTGCAAATATCACTTATTCTTTTTTTTTTTTTTTAATTTTTTTTTTTCAACGTTTATTTATTTTTGGGACAGAGAGAGACAGAGCATGAACGGGGGAGGGGCAGAGAGAGAGGGAGACGCAGAATCCGAAACAGGCTCCAGGCTCCGAGCCATCAGCCCAGAGCCCGACGCGGGGCTCGAACTCACGGACCACGAGATCGTGACCTGGCTGAAGTCGGACGCTTAACCGACTGCGCCACCCAGGCGCCCCTCACTTATTCTTTAAACTCTGATAAAATGTGCAGGCTTCAGCTGACCCATCTTGATCTTACCTTCTTACAGTTTTTTTTTGCAGATACCTCTAGTTTTAATTCTTCTTAACATTGCCTATCAACATCCATCCCTACATAAATTCAATTTAATTTTCATCCTGTATCCATCAGGTTTGGTTAGGTTTTGTTGAGATAACAAATATTCCAAAGATCTCAGTGGCTTAACTGAACAAAGGGTTACTTCTTGCTCAGAGTACCTGCCCACTGAGAGTCAGCAAAGGGAAGGGGGTGTGCTCATCATAGACACTCATGGGCCTAGGCTGATGCAGCAGCCACCATCTTGCACTTTGCCAGAGGGTCTTGTCATTACACGTTCATTTGCCAGAACTGATCATATGACCACATCCAACCACAGTGTACGTAAAAGAGAAATCCTACTATGTGCTCAGAAGGGAGCAGATCAGAAACGTTAGGTGAACAGGATTTGCATGAGCCCCGTTTTCTCCTCATTCAGTATCTTCAGTCTATTTTACCTCATCACTGCTATCAGATTGAATAAACTTAACAATAATATTATGGTATATTAGGCACCTATTATGTTTCAGAGTTTATATTTGGTATAAATCACATTATCTCATTTGATTCTCATAATAGTCCTGTATGGATGACTTTCTCATGCCCTTTTTGCATGTAAGGAAAATACGATATGAGGATATTTACACTAAGTGACATATAAAATAAGTGACATAGCTGTGATTGGAACCCTCTTCACATTATCTTCCTAAAAGACCTTTTACATTTGAACATAGAAAACTGTGTTTTCCATTCTGTCGGATGCAGCTCCATAAACTTTAAAATCATCCTAATTTGGAGAGAAAGAAGCAAGTGACCTCATAAAAATTAATCAAGAAGCCACAGGGAACCTGAAATAACTCTCACTCTGTCTTTTTGTTCATTTGTTTAATTTGCATGCCAGTCCCTATTTTGTGAAGAAACTGCAAATGTGTGGCAGGAGAGGATGCTTGAACCCTTACCCTAGAACAAGTCCTATAGATTCTTCTTGCATAATATCTCTCAGATTCATCCACGTCTTTCCACCTCCCTCCACTGCTACTATCTTAGTGCAGACCTACATTCTATCTCACATGGATCTGGCAACAAACAGTCTCCTAATGGTCTCAACACAATCCCTCTTGCACCTCCTCAATCCATTTTCCCCACCGAAACCAGAGAGATCATTTCAAAATGCCCCTTGGGTTTTGTGACTCCTCTGCTTGAGAACATTAAATGGTTTCCTATTGCCTTTAGAATAAGGTTCGAAATCCCCAGCCTGGTTCCAAAGCCCTGCATGATCTGGTCTCAGGCTCATCTTTGCCTGTCTCCCCCTTTTGGGGAAGAGCACCACCTTGCTGGCCAACTCTTAGCGATCCTCAGGTCTCAGATTAACTGTCTCATACACAGGGAGCCCCTGTCTTCCTGGATTAGGTCGGGTGCCCTTCCTTCTCTTGTTTTACCTTCATAGCACTTTATATTGTTTCCTGGAACCTATCATAATGGTTCTGCATTTATTTATTTACTCGTTTTAATGCCTGTGGTCCTCCCTCCCCTCCCCCAACAACCCCCATCCAGTCTGAGCTCCATGAATACTGCAACCTTGTCTATTTTGCTTACTCTTGCAACTCCAGCAGAGAGCTCAACACTAGCATACAACAAGCATTCAGGAGTTACTGAATAATGCACGAATGGACCATGTTCCTGAGGAAGTCTGGTGTCCTGCAATAATAATAGGAAGCATGGCTAGCCCTCTAATAACATGTACTACACACGGCACTCTTTAAAGTAATTTTATATAAATGAACTCCTTCATCTTCATAGCAAATCCATGAGGTAGGCAATACAAGCATCTCCATTTCACAGATAAGGCACAGAGAGGTTAAGTGACATAACCAAGAACAGTCAATGTCAGAGTCAGCATTTGAATCCAGAGAAGTCCATGCTCTTCCTAAAACAAAGGTTTTTTTCCCCCCTACTGAATCTAGGGGAAAAAATCAGTACGCAGAATACTATCAGTGCTTTTTTTAATATACAAATTAAATTTTAAAGTACCCAATGATTTTTAAAAGTATTCACAATGTTGCTAAATTCTACCTAGTACCAGCTCAGAAGAAAAGGGCATCCTGATCCCAAAGTACTCCCACCCCAACCCTCTGTACTCAGCCTGCAAATATCTTTTAGGTTAGAAATTACCACTATCCTTTGCTTAAATAATTCCTTGTTCTTGGGAAGTCTGGGGGTAGGGGGACCTTGGATGCTAAGAACAAGGGTGAAATGGATTCATTAAGATTATGAAAGCCTCCTGGTCTATCTTCCAGAACAAAAACAGAGTGATAAAATAGTGTACCTACACTGCCTGTTTTATAACTCTGGATTTTTCAAGGAGATACTCAGAGATTCTTGCCCCCATCACAGCTCCCGTTGGTGTAAACATCATTTCCAGGTATTTTCCAAAACGGCTGGAATTGTCATTGATGGCAGTGCGTGCATTTCCAAAGGCTTCCACCAGGGAGTTGACTTGCAGGATTTTCTCTCTCAGGGTCTGATTATTGGCCTGTGCCAAACAGACAACAGTCAGGAGGAGCTTCCAGAAATATCACTTTAGCAAAACTGCCAGGCACCCCTCCCTACCCCCAAAATTCACATATTCTTTTTGGGAAGAACTTCACTTGGGAAAATTATCATCAGCCACTAGCACCGTTTTCTCAGATGAGCAACTAGTTTAGGTTATCAATTTTTACATCCAGCCACACTTTACTTAAAATCCTTGATAAAATGCCTGAACATTTTAGAAAGAATTTTAAATAGAGAGATCCCATAACTTTTCTCAGTCATCCATTATAATATTCAATTAACCTCATCTGTAAAAAAGATTCCTTAAATGTTTAGTTTCATAATACACTACTTCTCAGTATATGTACCTGCCAGTCTGTTTTTTTAAGTCATTCCTTCAATGTCCATTTAACCAAGCTAAAAATTTCCATTTCCTTCAACTTTTGCTCAAAGATTTCAATTTTCCAATCCTTTAATCAAAGCCTTAGTGGCTCTCCCTAATCCCGTTCCTAGTGTTTAACCACTTTTACTACTTAATGGCTAAATGTTTCTATTACATTGAAAACATAAAAAATTAATTGCTGATAATCTAGTAAATTCGTGCTGGCATTATTTTCCTCACTACGTGAAAGAAGGATGACATGCTGACATCTTAAGAGGCCTAGCTATCAGGAGGTAAACATAATAAAGTCGGAAGGTTTTTATGTAATCCCTAATAAAAGCCAGTATTTCCATCATTTATAAAATATGCAGTTACTCTGTAAGGAGTCTAGCCACAGTACATAAAGCAAATAGTCAATACCTTCCCCAAGAAAGTCAAATGCTGAACAATCAGGTGGGTGCTTTCCGTCTTCCCAGAGCCACTTTCTCCGCTGATGACAATGCACTGACACAGAAAATGAAGAGTGAAGAATTCATAGCACAGGGAACAACCTATATGTTCAGCAATGGCTTTCATACAACATCTACCATTGCACACCTTAGTTTTTTCACTGAACGATAGATCTTAGGAATCTTTCCATTTCTGTACATTGAGAGCTTTGACTTTTTCACAGCTGCTTGTTGTTCCATTGTACAGTTGCAGCATAATCTATTTAACCAGTCTCATATTGACAGATACTCCTTATGTTATTACAAGCAATACCACATCGAATAACCCTACATAGGGCATTATATCTACATGCAGCTTCTTCTGTAGAATAAATTCTCAGAAATGGGTTGTTAGACTAAAAGATAAAATGCATTTGTAAATTGCATAGATAGTACCAAATTGCTTTCCAAGGACTAGAACCAATCCAGGAAAGTGCCTGTTCTAGAGCCTCACCAATAGAGTATATTGGATTTTTGCCAATCTGAAATGCAGAAGAATAGTCTCTCAGTATAGTTTTAATTTGCATTTCTTTCACTATGAGTGACACTGAAGTCTTTTCATACGTTTAAGATTATTCATATTTTCTTTTTGTGACTAGCCCGTATCCTTTGCTTTTTTTTTTTTTTTTTTTTTTTTTTTTTTTTTTTTTTTTTTTTTTGCATTATTGGTGTTTTTATTATTCATGTCTAGGAGTTCTTTATGTATCAAGGAGATTAGTGAGTGTATTATAATAAAAAAACATACACTGGGTCTTTGTCTCTGGTTCCTGGCAAGAGTTCCTAAGACCCTTGAAACTTCTTGAATCATAGGGACAACAGGATCATCTTCTGTTATTTGCAAACAAGTCCCTTTCAATCAAACCTAACTGCTAACCAGGTGGTTCCAAGTAGGGCCCAAGACAGCTTCACGACAGATGCTGGTCACCAGAAAGACCAAATACATGATTAGAGAGTGGGAACTTCTAGCCTCATCATCCCAACTTCTAGGGAATGCAGAGCGGCTAGAGATCGACTGAGACATAAAAACTCAAAGAACAAGATTCACAGAGTTTCTGGTATAAACACTTTGAGATGCTGGGAGGGGACATGCCCAGAGAAGGCAGGGAAGCTTTATACCACCCCTCTCCCTTGTATCTTGCCCTGTGCAATCTCTTCCATTTGGCTGTTCCTGAGTTGTATCCTTATAGTAAGCCAGTAAATTTTGTTAATGTTTACTTATTTTTGAGAGAGAAAGAGAGAGAGAGAGAGAGAGAGAGAGAGAGAGAGCCACAGGGAGCAGGGGAAGGGCAGAGAGCGAGGGAGACAGGATCCCAAGCAGGCTCTGCGCTGCCAGCCCTGAGATGTGAGGCTCTAACCCATGAACCATGAGATCACGACCTGAGCTGAAGCTGGACGCTTAAACAACTGAGCCACCCACGTGCCCCAATAAGCCAGTACATTTAAGTAAAGTGTTTTCCTGAGTTCTATGAGATGTTCTAGTGAATTATCAGACCTGAGGGTGGTTGTGGGAATCCCTGAATTTGCAGGCTGGGCAGAGTGTAGGTAGCTTGGGAATCCCTTTTGTGGCTGGAGTCTTAAATGGGGGCAGTCTTTGGGGCTGAGCCCTAATGCTTTGGGGTCTGTACTAACTCTGAGAGGTATCAGAATTTAATGGAATTGAGTTTTTGGACATCCAGTTACCGTGGGAGAATTGAAGACCTGGTTGGTGTTGGAAAAGACAACATCTGGTGTTAGAAACGACAACAGTGTGGGGCAACTTCTCAACTTGGAAAATACATGTATCTCTCTCCATTTACTTCCACTCTATGAAATCTATGGATATTTCACATGTCTGTGGGAAATGCAAGAATTTAGAGAAGCCAAGTTTCTAACCTATAGTGAATCCATGTACTCTATTTTGTAAGTTGCACTGTTACAGTTTCATCTATTCCTCAATGAATCCAAAGCTGAGACTTCACAGGTCTCAGGAGATTTACACACAGTAATTCTCTCACAAAATCTTCTCACCAATTTAGGTTACTTACATTTCAAACAGACTAAAGACACAAAGGAAAATATACATATTGAAAGTAAAGGAAGGGTCAAAGGTTGGATATGTCACCACTGTGAGTCAAAGGTCCAGAAAGGGAAGTTGTATGGGTGAGCTTTGTGTTTAACCAGCATTGAGTTTAAAATCTGTTCAGTCTTTACCAAATCTATCATAATTTCTCACCAGCTAAATGATGTGGTACATGGTCCCCGTCAACCCATGTACAACACAAAAAGGTCTGAACCACGAAAATTCTGAGACCTTAATAGGAAGGAATTTCATATATGTCATTCTACATTCTGTTTTTATTACAATTGTTGCTATGTAATCAGGTTTGTGTCGACTCTATGCTCTCACATTCATATTAGAAACATTCTTATTAGATTTTATAAGGGAAGATGAGTGCTCATGATGTGAATGTTTCACATTACAGAAAAGAATTTTCACGTTCTCCTGCCGCTGCAGCTTCTATCACTGTTCCTGTTCCAGTGAGCTACTCTTTCATTTCCTATTTCCTTGAATCAGCACCAGCAACCAGAATGGAGTTTTCAGGAAGACATAAGAGCTGCAGAGGAAGACAGAACACACCCTACTGTGTGACTTGGCAGGACAGGAAGGGGAGTTCTTACCTGGTCTCTGCTGAAAGTAACCATACACTGGTAAGCAGCATCTGCTGATGCAAATATGTGGGGCGGATTGGAGGCACGTTTCACCCCATGATAAAGTCTGGAAAACTGAAGAAAAAAATAAGTAGTTTAAAGAAAACTTCTAATGCTCCAGTACTTGTTGCCCGTGAAACCAAGACTTTGTCACTTAGTAGGGGAAGTGCAGCATCAGAAAGGCTGCAGAGCACAGGCTCTTGAGTCTGCAGGCCTCCGTTCAAATCCCGGTTCTGCACTGACTAGTTTCATGAACTCCTGTAAGGGAGTTGACTTCACAGTGCTAAGTCTCTTCTTCTGCCAAACAGGGTGAATAATAGTGCCCATCTCACAGGATTATGAGAAGTGAGATAAGCCAGTGCCTGGCCTATAGCAAGCACTAAATGAATGTTAGCTATTATTGTTATATCTTGTTCTAAAAACTTACCCCCAAAATGCAAGAACTCCATCTGTGATGCACTGTTATCTGCAGTGTGGGGTATACACCACTAAAAGTGGCATAATTTTATTTTCGCTTTTCCCTTCTTTTTATTTTCCCTTGTGGTTTTTAATTTCCTCTTAAGAAGCAACATGCTCTCAAAGCACCCCTTACCTGCGGGGAGTATATGCTTAGATTCTGGAAGGGGTTTAAGGCAATTAAGATGTCTCCAACATATGTGTAAATCAGCAAGTCCACATAACGCTTTTGCAACTGATGAATAATTGTATCCTAAGAAGAGGATAAATGGTATTGAAGGTAAACATTATTTCCAACCAGGAGAGACTTCTAATAATAACAACAAATTTATTCTTACAAGAAAGTTTTTTCACTCAATTTAAATCAAATTTACTCTTACAAGAAAGTTTTTTAGTCAATTTAAATCATAAGAGAACGCTCCTCTTCGTGAAGAACAAACAACTATCTTGACTTAAGAGTTAAACTGGACCTTTTCTAAAACAAAATAATTTCCAGTGATGTGATAGATCATTTAGGCTTACAATATAAAGAGCTTTATTGGAAAAAATCCAAATCCTTTCCTTTTCATCGTTTTGGACATTTGGGGAACTAAAAATGAACACAACACAGGATCATAGTCACAGTAACCAAATGCTCCCCGAGCTTCACCCCAAGGCTATACAAACAATTAAATTTTCAAGTGACCTTAGGAAAACATGGTCGACAAGAAAAAGGTCAGACCATTCACATGAAACAAATGTCATCGGTGAGATTGCCTACTAAATATTTAGTACCTCATCCAGAACCTCTAAATTGACCAAATCATCCTCAAGGCAGTATTTTTCAGCATCTTCCACATGATAGGGTCTTCTGGTGTGCATTCTTTCATGTCTAGAAATTTATCCAGAGAATATTAGCATTAATAGAGTAAAAAGCATAGCAGAACATAGGCGACGAGAATGGTTCATTCACGGTCTTATCAGATATGTTCAGAGACGTCAGAGGTGGGGACAGGAAGAGCAAGTCTAGTCCAGCTCCCCACGCTGTAGGGCCCCCTCCCCATTGCTGTACAGCTATCAGGAGTAAGGTGAGCTCCAGACCTCAAGCCTCCCTTCTACCACAGTGAGGAACATTTCCAAATGGGCCCATCTAATACTTATATTAGCTTTTCTTAAATGCCAACTACAGCCTTTCCAGAAATAAGTATCTCCTCCTGTTTTTCCTATTCACTGTCAGGTACACAGTTCTCACCAGGGTACTTCCCTTGAGGTCCCCTCATGCCATCCACCAGCATCAACCCCAACTTTTTGAGACATATTTGAAACTGCAGAAAACTTGAGAGAATAATATAGCAAATATCTATGAATCAAAAATGTTTACATTTTATCTTATTTGTTTATTTGAAATCCCTTTGTTACCCATGTTTCATCCCATTCTCCCTTCCAGAATGACTACTCTTTGGTGGGTAACCTTCTAGTCTATTTTTAAATATTGGTCATACATATGAGCAATATACATTTTCTATATGTTAATTATAAAAATGATATACTGTAGGTTTCATTCTGGAAACTTGGTTTTTTCCACTCAACATTATGATTTTCTAAACTATGTATATATGTATATACAGACATGTACATTATTTCAGTCACTTTAATCACTGGGTAATATTACATCATATGAATACATACCAATTTATTTACCCAGTTCTATGATGATCAACACTTAGGTTGATTCCAATTTTTTCCTATTAGAAACAAAGCGGCACTCAGTATCATTATATGTATCCCCTTGTCTAAATATGCGAGACTTTTCTCTTAAGGGGCATTACTCCACAGGCATTTAAGAAACTTGGTTGGCAATCAATACCAATCCCCTTTGGCATACCAAAATATAGTTTTTTAAGGTATAAAATTATTTCAAGTCACAGTAGGCCTTCCCATAATTCCCTTCATAAAGGGATCACTACTCAATGTGGTGTAGAGGGAAAGCATCAGCTTAGAAGTTAAAAGCTCTGGATCCTAATTTCAGGGTTTTGAGGAGTGTGTTGTGGTTCACTCAATAATCCCCTTAATTAATGGCCAGCATCTCAGTGTTCTTCATCTATAAATAGAATCTCTCATGACTGGTCTATCTATCTCTC